GAGCAGGAGTGGAGCCTTGGGGGGAAGAGAAGGAGCATGGGTGGGCCACAGAGAGGGGCGGGTCCTCATGGGCCCCCCCTCTTCCACCAAGGTTCCATTGCTGTTGGGTAGCTCCCCAATTGTGGAGAAGTCCAGGGACTAGTTTGTATCCAGTGTAACTCAGAGCATCCTCACCACTGAACTGGCCATGCCCTAGCCACACACCTGATGCTGGCCATGCCTTTTGTCTGGGGTTTGAGGCAGTGGTGCCATAAGGATGGCTATGCCAGATCTGCACTGGCTCGGGACTCTCCCATGCTGGGGGAGTCCTTCGCTAGTCTGTTCAGCTAGCTTTACAGCCCCTTTGCAATGCAAATGGGCAGACTATGGAAGCTAGCCCAGTATCTCCACCTTCTCAGTAACTGGTGGAGCCGTCACAGGGTGCAGGATGTGGTGAAACAGAGCACTGCACGAATTCAAACAAACTGAAACAAGTAACAGCTGCCCTAACCTACACGACAGAGCCAGTGCCCACAAGATACAGACGGCCAGAGGGAGATGGGGACAAATGGGCTATTTCCGAGGGAAGTGGACGGAGTCGGTCCCCTCTCCCCATATAGAATTGGAAGAGTCACCACCCGACATGTTCAAACTCATGAGTCAGCTCCAACCCCCACCCCCGCCAAATCATGAGATTGGCTTAAAAATCACTTATAAAATAATTTACAAAATAATAAATGTGGTGGTGACTGAACGCACCCCTGTATTCACATCCTACACGCTATGGTAATAATCTCTGTACAAAATATGCCTCGTGAGGTATCATTTGAAAACTAATAGCTCACTGGTGTGTGTCAGCGAGTGAGGTGTGCTGTCCTGCTGGGTTCAGATAATCATTCCAAACCACATGGCAAGTAAGATGGGTCACCAAATAGGCAGGCCAGTATTTGTCAACCAGTGGGTCACACCCCAGGTGGGTCACTAAAGGCAGTTGCGGTGGGGGGGGAGGGCACAAATCTAAAGCAAAGAAAATCTCACTCTCCCGCTCTCTGCCCCCCTTTACCCTGCATGGTCGAGTGCTCTCCATCAGCCTCTCAAAACACACACACCATTCAGTTATCTAGGTTTATCTTTGTTAGCACTGGCCCCCCTTTTTCCTGCATTTTGTAATAAATGTGAGGAGGTCAGGCACGTTTTTGACTTTGAATTAGGGGTTGCCAGCCTGAAAAGGCTGAGAACTGCTGGCCTGAGCGATTTGGGCTGGAGGCTGATGTGATTGGAGATTTTCATTTTGTTTTTCTTTTCCTTTGCCATTCGGGGAGCAGATAGTTGCACAGGCAGAGAGTAGCAGCCCAGGGGCAGGGGCAGTTCCTAGCAGGATGCCCTGAATATGGAGAAGCGCTAGACTACATCAGGAACAAGAAGAGACAGGCTGGTGGCATTTGGCTCCTCCCCTTCATCCTGCCACCTGCCCATCTGCCATTTCCAGCCTTCCACCATCAGCCCCCTCCTGCCCCTCCTCTGACCTTCATTCCATCAGACTTCCAGGCTGCTGCTATCAACCCCTGGACTCCTCCTTGTCTCCCTCCCTTTTGGAGTCTGACCCTGCTTCTCTGCCTTCCTTGCCAGTCCATCCCTGACCTTTGTCTTGGGGGGAATTCAGCTGCCATGCACCTTCCCATCCTCACTTCCTCACTTTGCCTCACACACCATAGAGGGGACTGGTTTTTGAGGAGTGGGTACTCGGCCCTTGCTGGGAACCAAGCCCCTTTCAGGGGTATCTGCTGAATACTCAAAATGCCCAGTTCCTTTTGAGAAGCTAGGCCAATATCTTTAGGGTGAGGCTGGTTTGCTAGCGGGCCTATGCATGGGGCAGCAAGTAGCTGCTACCCCTGGGGCAGGGCAGGGAAGGAATGGTGCTCCTGGGAGGCACAGTTCCGCCTGCCTGCCTCTTGTGCCGGGGGTAGTAATGTTCGGTGATCCCAGCAACTCAGAGCTATGCCGGCTGACGTATTGGGGGGTAAAGCTGGGCCCCGCCCCGCTCGTCCCCTTGGTGCACAGTAGCAGGCATTACTGACTTACTCCTGTGTAACATGAAAGATCAATGCCTCCACCCTGGCCTTGGGCTTCTCACCCCCTCTGCTGTTCTGTGTCAGAGTAGAGTGTGGAACTGTTAGATTCAGCGTTATATTGGGGGGTGGGGGGAAGGCCTGTTTAATCAGGGACTGTTGGTGTCAGACAACTGACCTGAGTTAGCACTTGGGATCCAGGGTGTGTGCTTGGGGGTTGATTTCCTCCCTGTCATTTTGCAGGTATGTGTCTGGCAGATCCGTTTTTTGGTGAGTGCTATGTTTGTCTCTTCCTGTCAAAACAAACCTGTGTCCAAAGTGCAATGAAGCTGTAACTTATTTTGATTGACACACTCCTTCCAGAGGACCCAGCACCTGTCCTCTGCTCTAACAGCGCCTTGGCACATTTGTCAAATACAGCTGTACAAACAGACCATGCCAGGCACCCCTCCCCCATGACCAGCATGTACCATCTCACACCATGGTCTCACAGGTAAAATAGGAAACATCAGTTCTTTGAGTGATTGTACGTGTCCATTCCACTGCTGGTGTGCGTACTCCCTGTGAACCAGGGTCAGAGGTTTTTCCCTTAGCTGTACCCATCAAGGTGGCACATGTGTCCTCCGCAATCTTATGCTGTTGCACAGTGGTATAAAGGGTGGAGCTGCCTCTGACTACCCTAAGTTCCTTCTCCCCACTCATGATCAGTAGTCGGAGCCCATGGGCTTGCTACTGCAAGTTTCTCCCTTTATAAGTTAGCGGTATTCATTAGTGTTAGATTAGTGTAGGTTTTCTGAGTTATTTTTTCTTGGAGCATGGGTTCCCCCTTACTCACAGGGTACTGATGCCTTGTACCAGGATATCCCTCAATTGTGGTGCACGTGTGGAGCCTTCTCCCACGTTCCACCTACCTGAAGTGCCTCAGTGAGGGTCATATTCAAGGCCACTGCCAGATTTGCAGGGACTTCAAACCCTGAACAAAAAAGGGCACAGTGGTGAGACTCCCCACAGATCCCAACCTGATCTCTCAGGACCCAGGTCACCTGCTACATCCCAGCCCAGCCACTCTCCAAGTTACAGCCTGGATGCTCTGTGGTTAATGCCACAGGAGGTGGAGTGTTTGTGGAACGTGCAAAACGTTCTCCTGAGCAGCAGGAAGCCATCTACGAGGTACACTCACTTGTTCAAGTGGAAACGAGCCTCTTCTAGCCAACATGGTTTAGACTGTTTGTTCCACTTGAAACAACAAGACCTATTGACTAGTTCCATCTGGAGTTCACCGGGCAGCAGTCTCCGTTTTCTACCCACCAACTGCAGACCACCCAGTGTTTTCTAATCCTGTATCAGTCAGATTCTTAAAGGGTCTAGACAGGTTATATCCCCATGTCATGGATCCCACCCATCCCTGGGACCTAGATTTGGTGCTAACAAGGTTGGTGGGTCCATCCTTTGAACCAACGGCTATGTCCTCTTTACTGGATCTTTCTAAGAAAGCAGCATTTTTGGTAGCTATTACCTCCGTGAGAAAGCTGCTGGAGTTACAAGCATTGGCAACTGACCCTCCTTACACAGTTTTTTATAGGGACAAGTTGTATGTATATCCACACTTGAATTTCCTGACTAAGTAGCATCAGAATGCCACCTCACTCAAGGCATATGCTTACTGACTTTCTTTCCTAAGCCCTGTCCTCACAAGGATGAGGAGAAGCTCCATAGCTTGGGTGTTAGAAGGGTGTTAGCTTTTTACTTGGACAGAACTAGGCCTTTTAGATCATCATCCCACCTGTTTGTGTCGTCATGGCCAGGAAGAAAGGCCCTCCAGGCTCAACACAGAGGATTTTATCCTGCATATGCCTGCACTGTAACCTTGCCAAGGTGCCCTCTCCATGCAGTGTGGCAGCACTCTGCAAAATGTCAGGCAGCTTCCGCAGCTTTTTTGGACCAAGTACCTAGAGCAGACATTTGTAGAGCTGCAACTTGGTCGTTGGTACATACCGGAACTACTCACTGTGCTGTATCTCAGCATTCCAGAGACAATGCCAGGATGTGTAGATCTTCAGTCATTGTTCAGGTCGACTCTGAAACCCACCTGCAGGTTGAACTGAAGTGGAATGGACAGGGACAATCACTCAAAGAAGGAAAAAACGGTTATTAACTTGTTCTGTAATTGCTGTTCTTCTGTAACTGCTGTCCATGTCCATTCTATGACCCACTCTCCTCCCTCTCTCTGTTGGAGTCTGTCTGGTAAGAAGGAACTGAGGAAGGTCCAGGGTGGCTCCACCCACACCAGGACGAGGAGGTTGAGGGCACATGCACTGCCCTGACAGGTATTGCTAAGGGAAAAATCTCTGACTCTGGTGCACTGAGCGCGCACGCACCTGAAGTGGAATGGACACATGCAACACATCTCAAAGAATAACAATTACAGAACAGGTTAATAACGGTTTTTAATGCCCCTCTGGGGCAAATCCAGAGCACAATGGCCAGCCAAACTAGGTGGGTCAGGCCCTGGGGTAGATGCATGGGGCAGGGTGCAGGAGTCTTTCTCCAGTAGAGCCCAGTCTGTGGCCTTTGTGCCCTCGCCTTTCTGTGGCTTCTGTGGCCTTGTTCCACACTATGTGCTGCCTTGCAGGGAGGAGAGTTCTGGGCCATGTGGAGAGTTCAATGTACCAAATCCTACCCTCCTCATGTAGTGGGACTGTCCCTGTTCAACCCTGACTGGCACGGGGCAGAACGTGTCCCCAACAATGAGCAATCAGACCTCTGCCTCCCCCGCCCCCCTTCCTGGGCTGCTTCCTGATCAAACAGCCTTGAGGAGTCCTGCAGTTTATGTATAACCTTGAGTAACCAGCAGGACCCATTCCAGGAGGTTTGGATGCTGGTAGATCAATCAAGGACCTTGCTCCTTGCTTAGACACTTACATCTTTGCTTGTCACTTGATATTTCTGCCAGCAACAGACAAGGTCGCACTTTTGGTGGGCAACAACCATTACTGGAATCATCCGCACCTGATGGCTCCCATCACTGATGTGTTTGAACTCAGCCTTCTCCTAAAGCGACTGGGATTCCGGGTGGTCTCCCTCCTGGACCTGAACAAGACAGAGATGCTGATAGCTGTCAATCAGTTCCTGCAACTCCTGGGGAAAGGAGTCTATGGTATGTTGCAACCTGAGAAGCTCTCCAAAGCCACCTTCACCAGAATACAGGCCAAGCAGAGAGCCACCCCAGGCAGCAAACCAGAGAGCAGTTAGCAGTGGTCATTAGTATTTCAGGGGGTGTGGCAGTGAGCCCCGTGTTAAGGTTGCCTTACATTTTCTTTATCAAATTGTTCTGATTGTTGGGTGCTTTTTGTTTGTTTGGCGGGGGTTTTTGGTTTGGTTTTTAAAGCTCTAGATCCTCTATGGTTTGCAGCAGGACTTTCTCCCATCAAAATACCCTTCAGCCCAGGGGAAGATGCATTGGGCAGGGAAGCAGGAGACCAAGAAATCACAATTCTTCTACAGATTGGTGTTAATCATTGTGCCTTGTCACGCACTCACAGGCCCCGTGCTCTCTCAACTCTGTACGGTCCCTGGGAGGCATCCCCTTCAGTGTGACAGCCCTTGTCAGGGGTCATTCTCACTCTCGGGGGGTTAAGCCCTGGGCTCCACCACCTCGTGGAGCTGCACCTCTCTGAGCCTTCAGCATGCCTGTCTCTCTCTGTGAGTACCTTCAGGGAGTCCTCTCGCTCTTGACCCCTGGGTTCTCCACACCCACAGGGAGCAATGCAACCCTGATCTCTAGACTGCAGTGACTCTCAGCCAGCGTAAAACTGAAGAGTTTATTGAACATCTGAACACAGCACAGGAAGTTCTCAGGGCTGTTGAGCCTAGAAAGTTCCAGCACCGTCCAACTGAGTCTATCCCAGTCCAGGTGGGCTCAGGCTGCTCTTTGTCCCCAGTCCAGAAGCAACCTCCTTTCAGTCAACTATCCTACATCAGCTCCCCAACAGCTTCTCCTCCGTCCTTTGTCTTCTTTCGTAGACAAACAGATCACTTGGGGCCCTCTCTCCTCTGCCCTTTGTCCTCCCACTGTCCAGAACCAGCTGGCTTCCAAGCTGGGGTGGGTCTCTGGGTCACCAGTTACTATGTACCACTGTGTCCAGGCTGTTGTCTGTGATCCAGGCTGCAAGGTGAGGTCACACCTGGTCCTCTGCAACAACAAACACCCTCTCCCGCCACCTCATTAAACATGCAGCACACATGCAAACCATTTAAAAAAAATCCCCCACTTCATCACTGCCCTTCACAAACCTATGCCATTGAGAAGTTACATGAGCTGGGAACAGAACCAGTTCTCCTATGGTCGCCGCAACTCTTAGCCCCATTTTTGCACTTGGCTATACTGTCAGCAAAACAGGGCTAAGCGTGTATATTTAACCCACTGTTTCAATGTGTTATGCTTCCTCCACCAGTGGCTGGTGCACATAGTAGAATAGCCGTCTGCAGCTTGGTGATGGAGGTAGCCCCTTAGCTCAAGTCATCCAGCTCTGTGTGCAGTGTGGAAAGTTGGGGGAGCAAATGCTGCTGATAATAGAGGGGGTATGTGTTGTGCTGTACAGGAGGTCAGACAAGATAATCACAGTGGTCCCTTCTGGCCTTGGAATCTATGGACTCAGCCCCCTTGTGTGCATTCATGATGATACAGTTTCTAAATATATTATCACAGACTAGTTTTTTCAACAGGCTGGAGCTGCTCTGGGGATGAATCAGGGCAGTGTAATGAAGGAGGCTGTTGACTGTAGGATCCCTGCCTCATTGGTTGCAGAAGTTGGAAGGTGTGTAGTGAATGTAGCTAAGGTGTAACTGCTACCCAGAAGAACTGGGATCTATTGCCACCTCTGCCACAGAACTCCTGAGTAGTGCGAGGAACTCATTTAAACCACGGTTTTCACAGCTGGACACTAATTGTCAGTTCCTCCTTTTCTGGGTGCCACCTTGAGACACCTGGCTTTTGGTTTGCAGAAGTGCTGCAATTGAAGTCAACTGGAGCTGCTCTTTCAAGCTGTAAAGTACTACAGAAATGCTCAGACCTCAGAAAATGCAGTCCTTTTCCGTTTGGGAACCCAAAATTAGTGGGCACTTTTGACAATTTTGGCTTTAACCCCTCTGTGCCTCAGTTCCACATATGTAAATTCATGCTCTGTTATCTCAGGTAAGGGCAGTGAAGATAAATTTATTTATGTTTGCGGGGCTGTCACTGTGGTGATGAGCACCAGAGAAAGGCCCATGAAGCAGCTTATCATTCCATATTCAGTGCAGGGTTTGCAGGGTGTGCAGTAAATAAAATTGGGCCACATACACCTCTATCCCGATATAACGTGGTCCTCAGGAGCCAAAAAATCTTACCGTGTTATTGGTGAAACCGCCTTATTTCGAACTTGCTTTGGCCTCGAGCATTTCTGTTATTAATACAGTATTTGACACAAGAAGTTTTATTCTTGGTGTTGTTTTAGAAAGGGCGCATCTGATGTCGTCCTTCACATCAAGCCCGGGGTCAGGGCTTGCAGCCACGCGTCCCTGTCGGGGTCGGGGCTCACAGCCCGGCAGTGGGGTTGGGGCTCGCAGCCGCACACCGGGTTCAGGGCTTGCAGCCACGCGTCCCTGTTGGGGTTGGGGCTCACAGCCACGTGTCCCTGTCGGGTTCAGGGCTCACAGCCCGCACTGGGTTCAGGGCTCGCAGCCACATGTCCCTGTCAGGGTCAGGGCTCACAGCCCGGCGCAGGGGTCAGGGTTGGGACTCACAGCCATGCGCCAGGGCTCATAGCCCCGCAGCTCCACGCAGGGGTCGGGGCTCACAGCCATGCGTCACTGTCGGGGCTCACAGTCTGGCGCAGGGGTCGGGGCTTGCAACTTGCAGCCACACGCTGAGGTCAGGGCTTGCCACCCCCCACATAACCGGGTCGCAACCCCCAGTTTTAGAACCAATGTTGTAGAAGAGACAGAAAACCATTTTTGCTTTACCGCGTTGTATCCGAATTCGTGTTATATCGGATCACTTTATATCGGGGTAGAGGTGTATTAAATGTTGAGGATAAAAGAAATATTGAACAGCTGTCTCGTTCCCTGAGCCCTGTCTGTCCTGTGCACTGAATGAGGACGCAGTTGTGTGGAATGGGTAGTATGTGATTGCCATAGTTACAGGGCTAGCTAAAGCACTGTCCTCTGCCAGCTTTCCCTGAGTGCACCCGGTCATGTGTCAGGCCTCCTGCCTGCACCTCTCCTGGGGCAGTTCTCCCAATCTGTCTGGGCCCCGGGCTACAGAGGCTTACCCAGTAGGTTGGACTGGGTTTGCACTTGCAGTTCTTCCCTTTGGGAGTCTGTAACCAGTGACCAGACAATCTGCTTATACCACAGTGGTGTTTAGTTTAACAATATGAACAAAGCATTTAGAGCAAAAGGATTATAAAACAATAAACCATCTAAACATCTCTATCTTACCTAGAGGCTTCCCATCCTCAGTAGGTCCCTGTGTCTCTGTCTGGTTTTCCCCCTACCTTGAGACAGAGATCCTTTTTAAGCTGCCAGAGTTCCATTATTTTTCTGACTTCCCAGATTTTGGCCCTTCTGGACAAAACTAGTTTTTCAGGTTGGTTGGGGAGGAGGAAAAATCTTCACGCTCATAGTTCAGGCTTTGTCAATGATAAATCTACTCGTGTTGGCTAAGGGGTCGCTTATCTTGAGTTACTCATTTCTCTGCCTGCTTTTTTTTTTTTCCTTGCAGCCCATTACACTAATCATTGTACCAATACAGTCATACTGCAACATCCCAATAACCAGTAATGAGCTGCCAAAATCTTAACAACTGGTTCCCTATAAAAAGTTCTGATTTAAGGGATGTGCCCCAGTATGTATTTTTTGTATCAACTGGGTTACCATATGTCCGTATTTTCCTCCCAGACGGCGATTTAAGAACCAAAAAGCCTGACCTGTCTGGGAAAATATGGCTGTATGTTAACCCTGCCTAAAGTTCTTTTTTAAAAAAATGGGCCTGAACTAGAAATGAGCTCCGTTTCACATGTGTGGGGCCCCGCCACACCCTGGGGGTGTGCTAGGGTGACCAGATGTCCCAATTTTATAGGGACAGTCCCGGTTTGGGGGTCTTTTTCTTGTATAGGCTCCTATTACCCCCCACCCCGTCTTGATTTTTCACACTTGCTGTTTGGTCACCCTAGGGTGTGCACATGTGTGGGTCCCAGCTGCTCCCTGCCCCCCTCATTGAAGCAGGTGTGCAGGGTTACTGCCGTGGGAACTGTAGGGCACTAGTGGACGTGGGGCTAGCTGGAGACAGGGGCGTGGGACAGGGCTAGCTGGAGACAGGGGCGTGGGACAGGGCAGGGGCTGTGGGCAGGGGCTGGCTGCGGGCAGGGGGTGTGGCGGGGGGCTGGAGGCAGGGGCTGGCTGCGGGCAGGGTGGTGGGTGCTCACGGGGAGAGCAGCAGAATGCAGTCCAGGCCCAGCAGAGCAGCCGGGGACCCACCAGGCAGCAGCGGGAGCCCCAGGGCCAGGGGTTGGGGGAGCAGCAGCAGCAACAGGGCTCATGTCCAGGGCCAGGTGGCAGCCCACATGGCTCCCACAGTGCAGCGCCCCCGGTGGCGGGAAGAGGAATTTCATCACTTCCTGGCCAGAGCCCATCAAAGCCTCAGCTCCCCATGCAGGGAAGCGGGTTAACAACCGGTTCTAAAACTGCTTCAAAATTTAACAACTGGTTCGTGCGAACTGGTGCGAACCGGCTCCAGCTCACCACTGCCAATAACCAGCTCAACATACAGTATTCATCAGTTACTACAGAACAGCTCCAGTCCATTGCCGTGATCATGTAATTAAAGACTGCATCATAACTGAGAGGAGCATAGACTTATTCTGGGGAACGGATCAACCTTTAGGTTGACTGGCTCATATCCACTGCCCTCCAAGATTCTGGAGCCCATGGTGCTGATCAAAAGAAATGATCAATACAAAACTGAACTTCCCCTCAAAAAACAGCAGTGTTCCAGTTCAGGTACCAGCTATGGTCAGGCCATAGAAGCAGTTCCATGGACCGCCACCAGGGAGGTCACAGAGTTACCTCCGCTTTACAATCTGATTTCTGAAAAGGAAACATCCAAACCAAACATCCCAGTTTTATGTGTTTTATTAACTAAACTAAATAACTTAGCAATAGCATAAAATACATACAAACCAATCAAATTACAAGAATGTGAGTTAACTCATATCAAATGAATCTAATTATCAGGTTGCTTAAACCATGTGAAATACACAATTACTTATAAACTCTGTGTCATAATTTGGAGAGGTCACAGTCTGGTTTAACTATCAGCTCCAAAGTAACAGGGCATTATCAGTCTCAATGCCAATCAATATACAGGAACTCCTCACTTAAAGTCGTCCCGGTTAACGTTGTTACGTTGCTGATCAACTAGGGAACATGCTCGTTTAAACTTGCGCAGTGCTCCCTTATACCGTCATTTGGCAGCCACCTGCTTTGTCCACTGCTTGCAGAAAGAGCAGCCTGCTGGAGCTAGTGGTGAGGGCTTGGAACCAGAGTGGACCAGCAGCCCCCCATCAGCTCCCCGCTCCTCTAAGTTCCCTGTGCGGCAGCCACCCAGCAGGCTACCACCTGCCGGCAGTTCAGCTGTCCCTCCCCGCACTGCCATGTGCTGCTCCTGCTCTCTGCCTTGGAGCTGCTCTCCAGAGCCTCCTGCTTGCTGTGCGAAGGTGGGGGGAAGAGGGGTGCTAATGTCAGGGTGTCCCCCTCCCCCCTTCTCCTGCATTCTGCTTACCACATCTCCATAGAGTGTGTGTGTGGGGGGGAACACAACAGGACTCAGTAGGGAGGGAGCTTGCTGGTAGCAGCAGCTGTCTCAACTTCCTGATCTACTTAAAAAGGCAATGTACTTAGAGTGCAGTCAGTGTACTTAAAGGGGCAATGTGCATCTCTCTCCCACACACAGGGCGTGTGTTTCTGTCTGCCTTCCTGTCTCCCCTCCTTCCATTTGTGCTGCCTTGTAGAGTGTGAGACTACATTTACAACAATGTGTTAACCCTTGAGGGCTCAGCGGGAGTGCTAGTTCATCATTCAGCAGTAAGGCACTCCCTGGGAAATATCCTACCCTCTTCCACCCTCTGACTCCACCACCTAAACCAAGCTTCACAATCATCATTGCTGTGTACAGTATTTGATTGTTTAAAACTTATACTGTCCATATAATATAGTCTTTTGTCTGGTGAAAAAAATGTCCCTGGAACCTAACCCCCCCTATTTACATTAATTCTTATGGGGAAATTGGATTTGCTTAACATAATTTCTCTTAAAGTCGCATTTTTCCGGAACATAACTACAACGTTAAGCGAGGTGTTACTGTATTTAGGTTCCAGCCGAATAGCTAATACAAGGAGGGTAAAATCACTGCAATTCTGATGCCAATTAAGGTTGCCTGCCCAAATTATTGGCTATCCATTCTCCCCACATACAACATAAGGTTACAATGAAATATTCCAATACAATTCAAGATGACTCGGCTTGTTACATATAATGTTCAAATGACAAATTTAGGTGAAAATAACATGATTTCTCAGGATTAAATATACAACTCCTAACCCCTGAAATTTATGGATGTGTGATCTTTTAGGCAGCAAGGTTGTTTAACCTAGGGCTGTTAAGTATCTGAGGAACTATTCTATAGGCTCCATTCTCAAATAGATTCTATGGGTTCTAGCCATATGCAATGCTCACTACTAACCATCTGCTGGAGTTTAAAAACAAGTGCAAAAATGCTGAGGTAGAGGCATCCCGCTACAGCAAATGTGAAATAAAACTAAACCCAGAAGGTTGATACTTATGCAGAATGGTTTCATGACTTGTGGTTTCAATCAGCTTTAGGAAGCCAGTGCGTGTTTGAAAAGATCAGCCGGTGGTCTTATTGGCTCCAGTGTTTAATGTCAGCAGACTTGTTGACTGGTTAGAGGTCATTTGCTTGTAGTTGTCAAACCTTAGCTGTTGCATGTTGCTGGACTCATATCCATGGAGGGGTGGAGAAAGCACAGGTTTCTTAGTCATGTGTGGTCCCGTTGCCTAGCCAGAGGCCAGCAGCCAGCATCCAACAGAAGCCAGAAGCGAGCCAGCAGCAGCATCAGGGCTTCTTCTTTTCATTCAGTTTTTGAAGATGGCCTGGCGGGTTCCTCCCCCTTGAAACTCCTCTCAGAAACTTCTTGGAGAATCAGAATGGGACCTCCTCTTCTGTGGTGACTGGAATCACTCAGTGGGGTCTGATTAGGTCCCCTTGCTGCAAATGAGGAATCTCCCCATTCCAAAAAGAAAAGGAGGACTTGTGGCACCTTAGAGACTAACCAATTTATTTGAGCATAAGCTTTCGTGAGCTACAGCTCACTTCATCGGATGCATACTGTGGAAAATACAGAAGATGTTTTTATACACACAAATCATGAAAAAATGGGTGTTTATCACTACAAAAGGTTTTCTCTCCCCCCCACCCCACTCTCCTGCTGGTAATAGCTTATGTAAAGTGATCACTCTCCTTACAATGTGTATGATAATCAAGGTGGGCCATTTCCAGCACAAATCCAGAAGCCCTCTACACCAACATTCCACACAAAGATGGAATACAAGCCGTCAAGAACACTATCCCCGATAATGTCACGGCTAACCTGGTGGCTGAACTTTGTGACTTTGTCCTTACCCATAACTATTTTACATTTGGGGACAATGTATACCTTCAAATCAGCGGCACTGCTATGGGTACCCATATGGCCCCACAGTATGCCAACATTTTTATGGCTGACTTAGAACAACGCTTCCTCAGCTCTCGTCCCCTAAAGCCCCTACTCTACTTGCGCTATATTGATGACATCTTCATCGTCTGGACCCATGGAAAAGAAGCTCTTGAGGAATTCCACCATGATTTCAACAATTTCCATCCCACCATCAACCTCAGCCTGGTCCAGTCCACACAAGAGATCCACTTCCTGGACACTACAGTGCTAATAAACGATGGTCACATAAACACCACCCTATACCGGAAACCTACTGACCGCTATTCCTACCTACACGCCTCCAGCTTTCACCCTGACCACACCACACGATCCATTGTCTACAGCCAAGCTCTGCGATACAACCGCATTTGCTCCAATCCCTCAGACAGAGACAAACACCTACAAGATCTCTATCAAGCATTTTTACAGCTACAATACCCACCTGCGGAAGTGAAGAAACAGACTGATAGAACCAGAAGAGTTCCCAGAAGTCACCTACTACAGGACAGGCCCAACAAAGAAAATAACAGAACGCCACTAGCCGTCACCTTCAGCCCCCAACTAAACCCCTCCAACGCATTATCAAGGATCTACAACCTATCCTGAAGGATGACCCAACACTCTCACAAATCTTGGGAGACAGGCCAGTCCTTGCCTACAGACAGCCCCCCAACCTGAAGCGAATACCTACCAGCAACCACATACCACACAACAGAACCACTAACCCAGGAACCTATCCTTGCAACAAAGCCCGTTGCCAACTGTGCACACATATCTATTCAGGGGACACC